TTCAAAGATGGTCGCTCACAGTGAACATAGATGGCTTCTTTCACTCCTCTTTTAAACCATCTGTCTTCTCTGTCCAAAATTGGGAACATTGGGATCCTCAAAAGAGTGACCTTTGTCCTTTAGATGCAGATGGACCACTGAGTCTTGTCCCATTGAGCTGACTCTTCTATGTTGTACCATGTGCTTGTGAAGTGGCTTTTCGGTCTCTCCAATGTAGAGGAGTTCTGTCTTTGGGATGAACCATTTTTTTGTCTGAGTGTGTTGCTGGGTCCTTCACTGCTCACATTAACACTGTGGATAAAAACATCAAGTTCACCAGGGAAGACACAAAGGATAACAGCACGATGACCTGGATGACTAAGAGCCTTCACAGACACCTCATGTACATTGATGTCTTTTGTTTAGAAAACCTTAAGTTGCAAAACAGTTAGCTGCAGTCCATCTTACCAAAAAAGAGTAACCTCCCTGGCAGTTCACAGAGTTTTATATGAGCATCTATAAAACTTGTTGAAACTGGTGGGGAGAAGCTGCTTGTTTTGCAGGCCCTGAGCTAAGAGGTGGCCATGATGGATATCAGGCACCAGTTATCATATCTACTACTGCTGCTGCACATTCCTTTATACTGATATATCTGAAGGTTTCTAAGTAATTATTCAATCAGTAAACTTAAGATTCTATTAATCCCAAATAAAAATAAAAGCCAACAAGCCCATCCAGACTGTGACCACCAGTCATTATCCCATATGTGAATCTTGGGTCAGCTGGAAGGAGATATTTACTTAATTTCCAGATGTGTAACAATGATATGTTAAGACCCTGTGGGTAAATCTTTAACTCTGTTCAACAGTTCAATTTAATTTTATTCATCAAGTGCCAAATTACAATTGTGCTGGGTTAAACTTTTAGATGTTTTTCTTGTGTGTTCACAGACTTTACAAAAATATTTGCACTGAAGTATTTGGCCATATGATGGGGCTGTTGATGTCAAAATTATATACTCATCTGCACCACAACACAAAACATCCAACTATGCATGACACAATGATTACCACAATACTAGACATAAAAGTTTTAGTAACATTTGTCTACAAAGGTTTTCAGCTTTCAATGCTGCTTGTCACAGAATGAGAAGATAAATGGATTTGTAAATGTAGGTTTCTTTTTTTAAGTACAAAGACAAAAGGGTCGGAAAATTAGCAGTGATGGCGAAATACATGATGAAGTGCCAAATAACTGAGGCTAAAACCACATGTCAGATGTAAAATTCACCAGTCACTGGGGCGACCGTGGCTCAGGAGGTTGGGAAGCGCATCTGTAACCGGAAGGTCGCCAGTTTGATCCCTGGGTGCTCTGTCCTGGTCGTTGTGTCCTTGGGAAAGACACTTTACCCTACTGCCTACTGA